GCCACAGATGTAAGTAGCACAGCAAACAGGTACCTACTGTACATGTCTCAAAGATGGCAGAGGTGACCTAGTAAGGACATGAATTTTAATTCATTGTTTTGACGGCAGAGTGCCATTGACATCCTGGGCTTCAGTGCTGATGAAAAGACAGCCATCTACAAGCTGACAGGGGCTGTCATGCACTATGGGAATCTGAAGTTCAAGCAGAAACAACGAGAGGAGCAGGCAGAGCCGGATGGCACAGAAGGTATCAGCAAATTCAGGGACTGACTCCTTCAAAAAGCTTCTTTCTCTGTCTGCAGAGATGATATGTTAGTCTCCAGAGACAAGCCTTTGTTGGCCTGAGTCACCACATAAAACACAGAGGAAAAGCATCTTTGTTCATTGTCTATCTAACTGCAGAGGTGCTTTCCTGATCATGGGAAATACCGTTATTTTATCCAGTGGATTCTCCCCAAGTACACACAGTCTGAGAGGGGGAACTTCGACATCAACACAGGGCATCACTCTCTCTGTAAACCACTTCTCTCTTCAACCACTACATCATCATGTTGCACAATTCTATTTTTGGTGAAATAAATCCTGCATTCTTTGCTATGCAGAAATCTACTTTCCACAGAAAAAGAATGTTTTCCATGCATGCCTCGTGTTTCCAGAGGCTCTTGGGATTCTTCTGGGAACCTACAGATTCAAGCTATTGATATTCAAGCCATAAATTTTCTTGCTTTCTAAGATGGCCATCATTAGCTTCCAGAATTTACATTCCTTCCCAGACCTTCAGTATGAGACCAGACCAATGCTTTTCCATCTCTAGATCATGAACAGCAGAGTTGTTCACACTGACCAAATTCTAGCCATTGTCCAAGGATAAATGCTTTTCTCTCTCTCTCTCTCTTTAGTGGCTGACAAGGCTGCCTATCTGATGGGCCTGAACTCAGCTGAATTGCTCAAAGCCCTGTGTTATCCTCGAGTCAAGGTTGGGAATGAATATGTAACCAAGGGTCAAACTGTGTCACAGGTAAAGTCTGGAGGTTGATGGTATGTGGCTTGAATGAGTACCTGAGGATTCTCCTTTGTCTCTCAGAGGTAACTCCAGTCCTTCCTTTCTTCTCTGCTTTAGGTGAACAATTCAGTGGGTGCTCTTGCAAAAGCTGTCTTTGAGAAGATGTTCTTGTGGATGGTTATTCGCATCAACCAACAGCTGGATACCAAGCAACCAAGACAGTACTTCATTGGTGTCCTGGACATCGCTGGCTTCGAGATCTTTGATGTAAGAGTCAAGGATTGAGCACCATAGTCAGGAAGATACAAGGAGGGGTTATGTGGACTCAGAAACACATTTATTTTAAAGAAGATTCAGAATTTTATCCACACTATCTGCAGCTTTCTAGAAACCCCTCCCCCTTCTCTGTCACAGTGGCACCCCCAAATGGCTTTACTAACAAAGATTTGAAAAGCTCTGCTTTCTGACAAGTGATGTCAGAAGCCCTTGAGCTTGCAAAGGTCTTAGGTTTTGCAAACAAGGAGATAGCTTAGGGCTAAAGCTCACACAGATGTGTGCCAAAGATGTGGACACTCTTGGAAAAGCCAAGGAAAGAGTAGAGCTATGGGAAAGTTCACAGCGTGTTTCCTGTGTTGTGAATGCAGTGGTGACTCTAGTACTTCTGTGTCAGAGCAGAGCAACACCCAGACTGTTGATCTAAGGGCAGGGAAATCCTTGGGTAGAATAATAAGGAGGTTTCCACTCCCTGGGAGGTCAGAGAGCTGAGACACCTAGCTGAGAGAGCAGCTAAGGTTACGGAAAGGTTTGTTTCTGAATAGCATGGTAACGAAAAGAAATGTTACCTTTAGCTTGATTTCAAATTAATAACAACAAATAAATACTAATACATAATATTAATAAAATCCTCCGTGGATGGTAAATTTTGCAATAGAAATCCTGCTAAGGAAACACATGCTGTTGCATTATGGCTAGGAGTGGTGATTCAGCTGGGGGAATTTAAACAGTATTAAGAAAATGCTAGCATAAGCCTGTGGCTTTTCCCACGCCTTGAGAACCTGTGCATCTCTCCTTGCTTTGGACAGTTCAACAGCTTTGAACAGCTGTGCATCAACTTCACCAATGAGAAACTGCAACAGTTCTTCAACCACCACATGTTCGTGCTGGAGCAAGAGGAGTACAAGAAGGAAGGGATTGAGGGGGAGTTCATTGACTTTGGGATGGACCTGGCTGCCTGCATTGAGCTTATTGAGAAGGTACCTTTTTCATACAAGTGTACTATGTATTTTGAAATTCTGTGTTGTTTCATACCCAGAGTCAGGTCAGAAAGTACTCACAGACAGACAGTCAGTGTTAGCCAAACAAAATATCTTGCACTGAAATTTATTTTAGTCTGGAGAGTAAAATTTAGGAAATATAAATCTGTATTATCAATTCTGCACTACCTGATCTACAAGCATGGAAAAGCCTGGATTCCCACCAGTAGACTTGTTTAAAACAAACTGGAGTCAGTCTCTTCTCCTTTTTCCACTGAAGGCTCAGATCAGAACTTCATACACAAATCTGGTAAATAAACATACTCTCACCTGATTTCTGAAAAGAAATGGGCCTCTTGTAGCTATTTCCCCAGGGTTTTTTTCTGCTTAACACTTCTCCCTGCAATTCTACTCCCAATTCTATCCTGAGTCAGACAGACATTCTTACCAGCTCTGTGATGATAGGCTGTGGGAAGGCAAGGGAAGGCAGAAAAAGATTGCCTGGCTGAGAAAAACTCCTGACATACTCCCTTATCCAGATTGAGATGCTACCAGAAACACACTGCTATCTTTGATATTCATAGCATATGCTTCACATCATTATCATCTTTCTCTGTCACTTCTTGTGGTACTCTCCAGCCCATGGGCATCTTCTCCATCCTGGAAGAGGAGTGCATGTTTCCCAAGGCAACTGACACCTCTTTCAAGAACAAGCTCTATGACCAGCACTTGGGAAAGTCCAACAACTTCCAGAAGCCCAAGCCTGCCAAAGGCAAGGCTGAGGCCCACTTCTCCCTGGTGCACTATGCTGGCACAGTGGACTACAACATCTCTGGCTGGCTTGAGAAGAACAAAGACCCCCTGAATGAAACTGTCATTGGGTTGTACCAGAAATCATCCCTGAAGACATTGGCCTTACTCTTTGCCACCTATGGTGGTGAAGCAGGTAAGTTCTGTAAAATTCATGTTTCATGTTCTCATACTGTACAAAGGGATTTCTCAAAGGCAATCTTAAAGGCAACTGTTCATGTTCTTCAATTTTGCAGATGCTAGTGGTGGTGGTGGCAAGAAAGGGGGCAAGAAGAAGGGTTCTTCTTTCCAGACTGTCTCAGCTCTTTTCCGAGTAAGTAAAGAATTCATTATTTCTTTGAAGAAGGAATTTGAACGTGAAAAGTCTGTTTCAGTTTTGGTCATAGTTGTGTTCATTCTTGAATATCCTTCCCTTTCCATCCTTGGAAATTACAGAATTACCCCCTTAGAACACCACAGAAACCCTACCTCAATGTGTGCATATTCTTCCTTTTACTTCAAGAGATGGAATGATATTGTCCGCTTCCTGGAACAACCTAGGCAATTGCCTTAGACTTTTTTTTTTCCAACTAACTATTGATAATGTAACTTTATATTTTGGCCGGTTTCTTGCATCTGCCTTAGTTTTGCTATTACTCTTTTTGAATATGCTACAAAAATCTTCTACTTAGACTAGGAATGAATTACAAATCAGCTGAACTTCCTTAAAATCTTCTCTGGAGACTTCAGAAATACTTCCCATACCTGTTTTACATACCCATGAGGATTTTTAGTATTGGCACAATCTGGGATTTGAAAGTAATAGATCAAACATCAAAAGCAAAAAAAAAATCACCGTGAAATTGTAGGATTGTAAGGCAATGCTTTAATCTCAGTGGGGAAAGATAGTGAATGTTAATTTATACCAAGTTAATGAATTTTTATGTCAGTTTACAGTTATGTTTTCAAGGTTTCTATTTGGCTGAGGTAGAGATATTTAAGGAAACTGAATTACTACTAAAAAAGTGAATTTATGTGGGCTGTAGAAATATTCTATTTATTTTATCTTTATTTTATTAATTTTAAAAAAATTATTTAGCTGCCAAATCAGATGCTAGTCTCACTTAGTGAAGAGTACATGCCATCCATTTAAAATGTCCAACTAAATACCTAAAGAAATACCAGCTGAAATGAAAGCTGTGAGATGGCACCTATGTATTTGTATAAGGATATCAAGGAAAAGTAATACTACCAAAGAATTTCAAAACCAAAAATCTGGGAACCTTCATTTTCCAAGTTTCTCTTTGGGAGTTCTGCAAGAAGATATAGAGAAGACAGGTGTGCATTCTGTAACATTCAGTTCAACACATCCACTATTAAATTTCCAATGCTTATGTTTAATGATATAAACTCCATTTCATGATCTCACAGGAGAATTTAAACAAGCTGATGGCTAACCTGAGAAGCACTCATCCCCATTTTGTACGATGCATCATCCCAAATGAAACAAAAACACCAGGTAAGGGGATCAAATAGGAGGAAAACTTGAACAGCAGAAGCTCTTCTTCTCAGTGCCATAAAGCAGTGTAGTCACTATTGGTGGTGTTTGTTAGGTGCCATGGAGCATGAGCTGGTGCTGCATCAGCTGCGATGCAATGGTGTGCTGGAAGGGATCAGAATTTGCAGGAAAGGGTTCCCCAGCAGAGTCTTGTATGCTGACTTCAAACAAAGGTAAAAGTGCTCCACCTTTCTGTCCATTCAGACCAAGCTGAAGAGCTTGATAATTGTAATGTGCTTGAAACATTATACTTCAAATTGGTACCAAGCAGAAATGTTTCACCATCAGTTCATGATGGTATGGACATCAGGATTCTCTTGCACTTATAGTTAATAGTAAAAACACTCTCCATATCATGTTCTGAAAGGTTGAACTGTCTCCAGGCATGAGACTGGTTCAATGAGACAGTCTGAGAAGCCTACGGAGTTTTCAATCACAGTAGTGGTTTTGGTGATGAGGATTTCTTCATGTTCTGTTTTCTTCTGCAGATACAGAGTTCTTAATGCAAGTGCTATCCCAGAAGGACAGTTCATGGACAGCAAGAAGGCTTCAGAAAAGCTCCTTGGTTCCATTGATGTGGATCACACACAATACAGATTTGGTCACACCAAGGTAGAAACAAGACATATGTTAAAAGTTTGTCAGGGAATGGTAAGGGCAGGCTGCTCTGTCAGGGTCAGGGAGCACAACACAATAACAGAGCTGACAGGGTAGGGGCCTAAATCAGCAGATGCCCAACCCCACAGTACTCAAGTGAGCCCAGTGAGGAATACCCTGGAATGGTAGTCAGATTCAACCAAGAGTCCAGATCATCAGGCAGGTTTATGAAACTAAGGAAGGACTGAGGTGAAGCCATAAAGCCTTGGTTTTCTAGGTTGGGCAGGTTCAGGTGCAGATAGACTAACAATGTCCAGGCACTGTTCATTAATTCCTGGTAGATCCACAGAAACGAGATTGGTCTATCTTAAAGCCAGGAAGTAAGTCCACAGGTCACAGGGGTACAAGACCAGGCATATGTGTGGCTGAGACTGTGACTGAACTGGAAATCAGAATTCATACGACATAGCTCAGAAAGGAACCAAATGCTTAAGGCTGAGCTTAAAGAAAGCTCGTAGGCTGTTGGGCAGAGGTTTTGAGAGGGGCCTAGTCACTAGCCTAGTGAGGCTAGTCATGGCCATAAAGGTCTACTTCACAGTCCTGAAAAACTCTGTGCCTCTATTCTGTACTACATAGCAAGCAATTGCAACATGTCCTTTCTCAAGGTGTTCTTCAAAGCTGGGCTGCTGGGACTCCTGGAGGAGATGAGGGATGACAAGCTGGCAGAAATCATCACTCGCACACAGGCCAGGTGCAGGGGCTTCCTCATGAGAGTGGAGTATCGGAGAATGGTGGAAAGGAGGTAGACATTTCTCATATTTAGTTTGTTATTGTGGTTCTTGACTAGAGAAGTTTAAATTCATCCCACCAAAGAGTATGCAATAGCCATGTAACCTTCATTTCAGGGAATCCATTTTCTGCATCCAGTACAATGTTCGGTCCTTCATGAATGTGAAGCACTGGCCCTGGATGAAGCTGTTCTTCAAGATCAAGCCCTTGCTGAAGAGTGCAGAGTCTGAGAAGGAGATGGCCAACATGAAGGAAGAGTTTGAGAAAACCAAGGAAGAACTTGCAAAGTCTGAGGCAAAGAGGAAGGAGCTGGAGGAGAAAATGGTGGCTCTGCTGCAGGAGAAAAATGATCTGCAGCTCCAAGTACAGGCAGTGAGTATCAGTATTCATTTTTCCTTGGACAAATAATGATATGCAGTCAGAATGCTTCTTACGTTAAGCTGAGGCTCACATAAAGCTGACTAAAGTCCACCAGAAAACAGCCTAAACGGCATACTTCAAGGCACTCTAACATTCAGTCAGCAGGTACTGGCAAGAGCATGGTGAGTCTAAGGGAAGCCTACATGAAACATGTAATTTCTGCTGCCTGAGGAAAGAGGAATGTAATGGTAAGGAAAATTTAATCAACAGCAGAGCATTCTGAACAAGGAAGCAAGTATCTCCGTCAACTCAACATTCAGAGCAGCATATTTGTCTAACAGACTAAAGGCAAGCCTGAGTAAGACCCACTTTGCCTCATTACAGATGCACTAGAAGACTTTGATTACTTTCAGAAACATGGATATTTCCCATGCAAACTCCATTAGGAAAAAGCAGTATATAAGATCAGAGGAAGGGATCAACTAGTTAGCATTGGAAATGCTAGGAATGGCCTGGAAAGAAAGCAAAGACGTAGCTGATAACAAAGGCAAGAACTCTACTGGTCTTGGAGAAATTTTGATGCATATAGCATCAAATAGATGTATGCATGTAGCACCAGATAGATTTCTTTTTCAAAAAAATTATTCTGTAAAATGGAAAAGTCTCTATTTCCCAAGTATTATAAGGTTCTGAAGGAGACAATAAACAAGAAAGAACTAATGTATACATTTTCAGTCAGGAAAAAAGGTGCAAAGTCCTTGCTCCTGCTAGGAAATTAGTAATTGAATTGCCCGCCACTCTGTCATGCTTGTGTGTGCATGAGGTATTCTCATAGCTACCATTTCTGTGAGGCATTCTTAAGAGACACAAAACATTTGGAATCAGTTTTGATTCCAGTTACCACCAAGCAAGATCTTTCAGTTACTGACATGAAAGGCCAGGTTCAGCCCCCATTTTAACATATGTGTACTCACTGATACAGAAGACAGAACAGAGAAACTTCAAAACATTACAACCCAAAAAAATGTGTGTCTCCAAACCAGGAAGCAGATAGCTTGGCTGATGCTGAGGAAAGGTGTGACCAGCTCATCAAAAACAAAATCCAGTTGGAAGCCAAAATTAAGGAGGTGACTGAAAGGGCTGAAGATGAGGAAGAAATTAATGCCGAGCTGACAGCCAAGAAGAGAAAACTGGAGGATGAATGTTCAGAGCTGAAGAAAGATATTGATGACCTGGAGCTAACATTGGCCAAGGTTGAAAAGGAAAAGCATGCCACCGAAAACAAGGTACACACACGGGGAACCACGTAAGGGGTCAAAAACATCATTGTTTCTTAGAGCAAAAGAGCCTGCTACCCCAAGGCATGTTGGCTTTTGAACATTTGACATGGCTGTCATCTGAGCAGCACAAGGACAAATGAAACTCCTGGCTAAGCACTGCAAAGTAAAAAGGTCACTGAACCAGCAGGCATGCTTTTCATCTCATTTTAACAATTGCTTACATTTGTAGGTGAAAAACCTCACA